GGCGCACCAGGGTCTCTAGGCTTGGAAACTTCAGGAACTCTCGAGCTCGAAGCCCTGAATACAAACAAAGGTGGGTTTAGGGCTTCATGTAGGGGCCTTAATAATTAGAATAGGGTTTTGGGGCCCATGATAGTAAAACTGGAATAAGGCACCCCCAAAATAGTATTGGTAATTGTTTAGGCTCCTACATTACGGCTTTTTGGGGGGCTTGAGGCTTTTTTTGGGGGGCTTGGGTTGAAGGTTGCGAAGACTTAAACCCTTATCGGCGCTTATGCCAAGCACCCCTAGACCCTGAATTTAGACCCTCAACCCAATACCCCCAAACCCCGAACTCAACTTCCTTAAACCCTAAACCCCCGAACCTTGAGGCATCAACGGCCGCTGCTAAAATCTTATTCTAAGTATTCAGGCCCCTATATTACCAAAAGTGGTGTCAACTGGAGGAGTAACTCCTAGTGTTAATTGCTTTACTGAGTTAGTCGCTGATGTTGAAGGTTTCGGGTTTAGGGGTTGGCATTTGGGGGTCATGATGGTAAGAATGGTGATGACGAAGACGATGCTGCGGGAGCGGATGGATGGGGGCCGTGCTGAAGTCACTCAGGGCTCCGTGTGCACCCTTTGATGTACAGCCCTTTAAACCTTCTATCAAAGGCCTCAATCGGTGGGATGAAGGTGGGTGGGGGACCCCGTCATCTGAGTCCTTGTTTGTTTGAAATGTGAAGAAGCCTTCTGAAACGAGCCCTTCTAGTATTCCTCCTGGCACCCTTGCCAAGCCTACCCTTCATCCCGGGTTTTCTGAGGGCCCTGTTTCGCGTTTCTATGAACCACAGACCTACCTGCCTATGAACCAAAGACCTGCTTCAGAAACCTTTTGCGAGTCTGCTCGCTTTTTCCTGCGAGCTCCCGGGAGAAAAGCTCTGCGCGAACCGACTCGCTTGTTGGGTTGACTGTAGAGTTTAGGCAGTTTAGGGGTTTTGTCGTTTTTGTTGGGTTCAGGGTTGGGGCCACCTTGTTGGCTTGGAGTTGGGATAAGCCATGAAAAGGGGTGGAATATCAACTTGTTTTGCGTTCTCGGCTCTAGTTAATTACAGTAAACCAGTCCAAGTATAGAATAGACTTGTTTTGCATCCTCGGCCCTAGTTAATTACAGTGAACCAATCCGAGCATAGGATAGGGCTTTAGGGTGCGTTGTGCTATATTAGGGGGTTCCGAAAGTAGGGTACCCTAATATAGTACCCGAAATAGTAGGATCCTTATTGTAAGGACACCAAAATACGGCAACCCTTATTTTCGGAAACTCCCATTTCACACGACCCCGTGTCCCAAAGCCTGGAACCCTCCGACGTGCTTCAAGCATGGGGGTTTAGGGATGGGGCTTTGGGTTTGGGGTTTTAGGTCAACCAGGGAGTCGGGAAGAGGGTTTTCATGAGGTTTGGGTGTAGGGTTCAGGCTTTAAGAGATCATGCTTTCGAATGAACGCCCCTCCAACCCAAGCACTCCGAGCGAGACCTGTGCGGGTGAGCTTCGGGGTGCTGGTTTAATGATGTTAGGGCTTGTCGGTGTTACAAGCCCCAAACCCCAAATTGCATCCTAAACTCCAAACCACGAAATCCAACATCCCAAACCCATGAACCCTAAGATCTTTCTCACCACCGAGCCCTGAACCGTGAACCCTGCACCCCCAAGCCCCAAACCTCAGAGAGTTTACACTGTTAAGAACTTTTGGCACCACGATAAATGCCAGAAAGAACCTAAACAAACCTATTCCAACCCTCTACAATCCCTAAGCGCTCTTCATACAGCCCCTGCACAGCCATGCGCGGGACCCAGGATATGACTTTCCGCTGGCCCACCAGGCGACTTGAGCTTCGATTTGGGGCTTGGGGGTTTTAGGGTTTAGGGGTTGAGGGGTTTAGGGGTTTAGGGGTTTAGGAGTTTAGGGGTTTAGGGGTTTAGGGATTTAGGGGTTTGGGGTTTGAGGGGTTTTCAGGGGTTCGGGGGTTTGAGGGTTTAGGGGTGTTCGGGGTTCAGCCAGCGTTCTGGGTTTCTTGACTCAGGCTGGCGATTGAAAAGCCCAGGCCTTGACAACTATGTTAAAACAATGGGCTTTATGGTGAGACCAAGGATTTTTAAGGGCTCCTTCAAGGGATCTTGAGGTATAGGTTTGTCGCGGGTTCTACTATCTAGGAGCCTTCATACTTGGAAGAGGGTTTTGCACATGCACAGGTATAGATGTATGTATGTATGCATGTAATGTAATGTAATGTATTGTATTGTAATGTAATGTAATGTAATGTAATGTAATGTACTGTAGTGTACTGTAGTGTGATGTAGTAAAGTATTGTAAGGTAATGTACTGTAATGTAGTGTAATGTAATGTAATGCAGTGTAATGTAATGTGATGTGTTTTTACATTTCATTGTAATGTAATGCAATGTAATGTATTGTATGCATACATGCACGTGTGAATACCTGAGCTGGGTGAATGAATGAACGACTTGCATGCGTGCATGCATACATAGATGAACGAATGAATGTATGTATGTTTGTACGTGTGTACTTATGTATTTATGTGTGCATGTATGTATGTATGTATGTATGTATGTATGTATGTATGTACGTATGTATGTATGTATGTATGTATGTATGTATGTATGTATGTATTTATGTATGTGTGTGTGTATGTGTGTGTGGGGGGTCTCTGTTTGAGAGTGCTTTTGTTTCATGCTTTGCTGCTTAAACCCTTCCAACTTGAAGGAGCTCTCTCAAACTCAGACTTCCCAAGTTGTTTAGGACACGGATGTGTTGATGTGAAGGAACTCAGCTCAATATCAACTCCCTCTAAACTCCACCCAAAGCCTGGACCTTTTCGCCTTTCCTCTTCATCTATCTTCAGTTCAGTCGCGTTGATACGCCAGAGAGGTAGGGTTTTTGCAGGGGTATAGCGTCAGTTTTCTTTATTGACCTCGATATTTACACGCTAAGGTCGGGGTGCGTGGGGTTTCGGAACAGTTTCCTTCAGACACCCCCCCCAAGTGTGTATCAGCTGATTCGGCAGCAGCGGCTCCCATGCATCACAGGAGTGCGTCGATTGGGCCCAGGACTTGTCCCAGTGACGAGTGCTTTCAAGAAGTCGGGCTGGGTTGGTTGCTACAGTTCAGGATCCCCCTCTTTACAGGGGTCTCTGTTTTTGGCCAAGCCCATCTAGTGGGATGAGGGTGTTCCATCACCAAGCTTCCTTGCTTGCTACTGTTGCTACTATGGTCATGGTCCGGTTGTTGCCATGATGTCCCTGCGCAGCCCTGGCCGGAAAACCCCGAACCTGGATAGCTCACAAGCTCTCCGGCAGAAGTCATGTCTTCCAGCTCGTCTTTGCAAGGCTGTCTTAGGGGAGTGTCGGCATCGAAACTTTTTCGAGCAAAGTCTTCCGCCCTTACAGCGCCGGCGGCGCCGATCCTTCATCCCAAAGCCCCACAGCCACAATCCCGAACCCAAGCACCGTCAAGCCTTGTCTAAACCGGAACCTGCTTGGGCCCCCGACCGAAGGCCTTCTGGGCCTAGGAACGCCGCATTCTGAGGGAAAACAGCCCATTCTTTCGAGAAGGCCGAGTCAAGCGCAGAAGCAACCGCCAACAAGTCCCACAAAGTGATCTCTCGAGTGCCTCTACCCAACTCAGAATTACTGGGCTGAGGATCCCTATACCCTAAACCCGGCCCGATGGCATTCCGACCCCGAAACCCGGCAGAAGGGAAAAAGGTGACAACAAAAAACCCTCAACCCTAGTAAACCCGAAACCCTAAAGGAAGTACAGGTCTCCCTTACAGCCCTTGTCTGGCAAACCTGGAACCCTGGCTTCAATCAGGATCTGCGGCACAGCGCAATCGCCACGGTCTCGTCTGGGTCGCAGGACAGCATCCACACATCGTGAGCTCAGTTCGGTTCTTTGGGTTGTGGATTGGGTTTCATCAGGTTCTTTCGCTGGGGATAGTATTCTCGTGGCATATGAACCTACAGCCCCAAATGAGGCCCAGAGTGTTCTGAATCAGGTTTCTGCATTCGGGCTTGGGGGCTGGGCTTTAGAGCCTCAATCCGTAAACCCTTAACCCCAAACTTCATACGCCCTAAACCCTAAACCTCATACGCCCTAAACCCTAAACCTCATACGCCCTAAACCCTAAACCTCACACGCCCTAAACCATAAACCTCATACGCCCTAAACTCTAAACCTCATAAGCCCTAAACCCCAAACCTCACAAGCCCTAAACCCTAAACCTCACAAGCCCCAAACCCTAAACCCTAAACCTCACAAGCCCTAAACCCTAAACCCTTGGGCTTGTTGATCCGGGAGCTTTCTAGAAAAGCACCTCGCGGACCGGTGAATCTTTGGACCATGGTGCAGGGCATAGGGTTTCGGGCTTAGGGTTTAGGGTTTAGGGTTTAGGGTCTAGGGTTTAGGGTTTAGGGTTTAGGGTTTAGGATATAGGGTTTAGGGTTTAGGGTTTAGGATATAGGGTTTAGGAGTCAGAATCCGGTTAATATAGGGGCCCCAATGATTGCCTATGCTATTCTGGCGGGTTCCTCATTATATGTGTAGTATAGTATTCACCAAAACCTTATTCTAGTTATTGAGGCCCCTACGTTATCCTCGCCGTATTAGTATAACCCTAACCCCCAAAGCCTGCAAAACCCAAAACCCCCTGAACTTGCAAGCCTGGCAGGCCGCCCTCTCGAGCACACGGTCGTGGCGGCCCCAGTTTGCCCTAAACCCTAAACCCTACTTGGAGGGTCGGGGGACTTCGTAAGTAGTTATTGTATAGACTTATAGGTATCATAACCCCAATTAGGATCCCTTTTAGGGTACAAGTCTACTTACTACCCACTTGCTACGGACCCTCCAAGTAAACCCAGCTGCCTTGAGCACCGAGTTTGGCCGCAATTCGAAGGCCGAGGGCCCGAAGCTCCGTGGGGTTGTGTTGGAGTTCAGGGTTTAGGTTTCAGGGTTCAGGGTTTAGGGCTCAGGGTCTAGGAGTTCAGGGAGGTTTGAAGGATTCAGGTTGAGAGGGTTGGTTTGGAGAGGGTCCTCAGATTTCTGTAGGCTGGCCCCTAACCCTAGACTAAAAGCCTTAAACCCTAGACCCTAAGCCCTCAACTCCTCCTCCGAAATCTTCAGCCCGGATGCTGTCGGATTGAGGCGGGCGAGATCAAGGCCTACTCCCGCCACCGCCCAGGCAGAGAGGAGGAAAGGGGAAATATAGGTTTAGACCCCATCCGCTTAGGTCCCAGGGGCTCGTGGGTATAGTGGGTATGGAGTTTAGGATTTAGCGGGCTCAAGTCCTGCGCTGACGAAGGATGCAATGTGCGGGAGGGGAGGGATGGCAGGGCGCACTGCACTCTGGGCTCACAGAGGCTTAGGGCAGAGGGTGCCAGGGGCTTGCACTAAGAACTGAAGTGCCCGGTCTCCTTCATCAGCACCCGAGCCAACAGTTTAACATTGCTCACAACAACACCAGTCACCAGCACAGGACAGCAATTGCAGCTTTGTGAACGCACCAGCACCGGCACCAGGACCGGCAGCAGCATCACCATCATCCCCATCATCCCCAGTGCATCTCCATCATCACCCTCATCCTCATCCCCATCCCCATCCCCATCCTCATCCTCATCCTCATCCTCATCCTCATCATCGTCATCATCATCATTACCATCATCATCCTCATCATCCTCATCATCACCATCACCATCACCACCATCACCATCATCATTATCACCATCAACATCATCATCATCATCATCATCATCATCATCATCATCACCATCGCCATCGCCACACCTTCATCAGTGCTGGTCCAGTGCTGGGAAGAAACCTTAGTATTTGCGAATAAAGGCACTCGCTTTCATATTAACTGTATGCCACAGGAATTTTATATTGGTGAATCCGAACAAGTTCAACTCTGCATGCCCACGCCTACTGTGCTTCTTTTCAAGCTTAGGCTGCCTATAGCCTCGGAAGCCCAGGCTGAACTAGCAGTCCCAACGCAACAGAACTCAAACTCTGAACACGTAAAGCCGTAACCCTAAGGCTGATACCCACAACCCCAAACCCGAAGCCCTCAATCCGAAACCCTAAACCCGACCAGAGCCCAGAGACCCGCCGACCGAAGACCAAGCCATGGGGCCCCATGCCGAAAGCGATTCCTCAACCTTCATGCTTGAACCCAAAACACCAAGACTTTACGACACTCCGAGCCGCAACCGCAATAATTTTTCTATCAAGACATGCATAGTCTGAATGCTTACTGCTATGAGGACTGTTGCTCTCTTTTGCTACTGTCGCTGTTACGTTGTGACCGACGCCCTCCTTCCGCGACGCGACGACGACTGCCACTATTGCTATAGATGTGGGTGCCGACCAGGACCAGGACCATGGCGACGACAGAAGAGACTCGGAAGACGGCGGCGACGAGCACTGCTGCTGCTGCTGCTGCTGCTGCTGCTGCAAGCACTGTCACAGGCGTGACTATGCTTTTCATGCTTGCCGTGCTGCTGCTCCTGGTGTTGTTGATATTGTGCGGTATGTAGTACATGTATATGAATATCTATATTGTATATATATATATATACACATACGGTGCGTGTGTGTATATATATATATACATGGCACAGATGTAGACATACAGAGAGAGAGAGGGAGAGAGAGAGAGAGAGACGCTCCTTGACCCCACCTGAGAGGCTCCTCGTCGCCCGGGAGGTGCCCGGAGAAGCGGTGGGTTTGGAGGGACGGGCTGGGGGAGCTCGGCGGTACAGGTTCGCCAAGTTTGGACTTTCGGGACTATGGTTTAGAGCTTCGGGATTCAATTTTGGTGCTTAGGGTTTAGGGTTTAGAGGAAGGGTGGCTACGATGTGAAAGTTGTAGTGCTCCTGGACAAGATGGTTTAGTTTTCGCACCCGTCGGCTTTTTGGGATGTCAGTGTTTGAGGCTTACAGACAGCACAGAGGGTCTGTAACAGGGGACCGGTTTACCCCTTTTGGCCAAGAACGGAACCTTCATGCAGATCTTGCTCCAAGCAAGCCGATACCGAATTCTGTCCTCTTATTCTCATGTCCACTAAGACGCTATATGCTGTTGCACTGAACCTCTACAAGATATCCTACGGTCTTACGGCCCCTGTTGCGGCCCCTTCAACTCTCAGAGCCCATCGAGACAGCGAGAAGCAACCTCGAACTGCCAGCAGGCCCTGAATCCGCTGAGCATCACCTGTCTAGCTGAAGTCTGCGGGGTCTTTCAGACCCGGGCAAGGGTTTGGGATCTGGGGTTTAGGGTTTAGGGCTGATTCGGGCTGATCGTGGAGCTTCTTGCTCTGGGATGTTGGGAATGAGTTTGGAGAGAGAAGGCAGCAGGCTCGCTGCAGCGGCCAAGATGGCCGACAAGTTCCTGCGGCTCTGCGCCGCATGGCCAATGCCAAGCAGCACTACAGTGGGATGACTCGTTGTCGACATGCCGCAGCCATCCTAAACCCTAATAAAGGCGTCAGCATGATTAGTGATAGTATCCCTGTATAGTCCCTCTTCATCTAGAGTATTAGTATCTACCCAAGAGCTGATCAAGAACCCTACTGTTGAAGCATGGAAATCCTGCATCCTATGTAACTTGGCTCAAACTGCGGTGTTCTGTTAGCATTGGCATGAAGAGAGATATCGCCAGTAACAAACAGATCCGAACCTTAGAGCCCTCCCTTAAGGTGTAGGGATACGGGATTATTCGATCATGAGGCTTAATTACTATGGTTGGATACCGAACTCTGGCCAACCGCTCCCGATCTTTCTGTTCCTTGTTTCCGGAATTTTCGGCAACAGCTACCATGGTCATAATGAGAATACCAGTTCTAGTAAAGGGTCGTTCAGATTCGAAGTCTACTTTATCTGTTCAGGTGTGGGCCGTTTGCAGGTCTTAACCTGTTTCTTTGAACGCTCCGGCTGCTGCGCGCCCTCCATGGAGCACACCGGCGTGGTCAAGTCGTTCAGCCCATTGTCTCTTGGCCGAGAGTCGTTGGACATTGACTCTGTTGGAGTTGTTGATTTAGGCGCCCTAACAACACCTATACACGTATTTTTTTGGGGGGTCCTTCTTGGAAGTATAGTATAATGGACCCCAAAATCCTCTTCTATTTATTAAGGCCCCTACATGAGGTTGGGAGGAAGCGGGGCTTAGGGGCCTGGAGTTGAGTTTGAGTTTATCTGTGGTGAAGGTTTCGTGTTCTTTTTCTGCAACTACTTAATCTGTTCTACTGAGCAGGAAACACACATCTTGTGGCTGTGTAGCATCAAGAGCTCCCGGACCTACACAGGGTTTTGGGATTACGTTTTAGGCCTCAAGGTTCTGAAGCCACACGACCTGCAACCTGGACCTTGAAGGCAGGTAATGTAGGGGCCCAAACAATCACCAATACTATTTTGGGGGTTCCTTATTATAGCTGTACCCTAATATACCCCCAACACCCTATTCTTATTACTAAGGCCCTACATTAGTCCCAGACACGGAAGTCTTCTTTCGGCCTATTCGGGTTCTGAATGCCAGGGCCGTTTCTCCATCTGGGTTTCCAGTTGCGCTTTACGCCACCGGGCTCTTCTTGGTTAAGTTGTGTGAGGAGGCTCAGCTGCTGGTATAGAGCTATCTAGGGTTTTGCAGGCTGCTATGAGTTTATTGCGTGTTCAGGCATTTTGTCTAAGCAGCAGAATCAGGCAAGCTGATGCTGTGCTGCATGCCTCGAAGTATATACGTCGTACTACAAAACGACATGAAACTCCTTCACAAGAACCCGCCGTACCCTAAACTCTAAGCCTTAAGGCCCTAGGGAAGGCAGAGAGGAGTGCCAATAACAGTTTGCCATCCCTCGCTCACCCTGCAACCACCACCACTCCATACCTTGAAGCCCCAAGGAGGGACCAGGGTTTAGGATTTAGGGTCCAGGGTTTATAGGGTTTAGGTTTAGGGTTTCGGGCGAATCGGCGAAGTTTCAAATCCCACACCCCACCCCAGAAATCCCAATCCCCCATAATATCATGTACTCAGGCAGAGTAGCGTTCCAGCGTAGCTTAAGTTCCTGAGCCCCAAGCGACGCCGAAAGCGGCCTCCTTGCAGAGGAAGGGTTGGGGATTCGTCACCAGCGAAGAAGCAGGAGGCGGGAAATGTTCAGAAAGCGTCGAATCCCCGGGGCTGGGGACTTAGTGGAGTTTGAGGTGTGAGAGTCGGCTTCAGCTTCAGGGGTTTAGGGTTTAGGGTTTAGGGTTTAGGGTTTAGGGTTTAGGGTTTAGGGTCTTCAGTTTCAGATCAGGGGTTGAAATTTGGAGTTTCGGGTTCAGGTTGAGGTTTTTTGTTGGTTTGTTTCTTGTTGACGTGGGGTCGGGTCTGGTAAAACGGGCTCTTACTCGATCAGTTATCAACGCCCCGAGCCCTAAACTAAACCCCGAATCCTCATGAGTGCATAAAACAACCCCTCAACCCACGAAGCCTTGAAACTTGACCCTAAACCCTAAACCCCAAACCCTAAACCCGACACCCAGACCCTCAAGCCCTCAACCCCTGACCGTATAAGCACAAAAAAGCATGGTGGAACAGTCGGACAAAAGGGTCTAAGCAACACAGGCGATGAAGCCCAAAGCCTGAAGCCCTAAAGCTCACTGTGGCTCGGTAGTGTTAGGAAGACCCCTTAAAGGGGACCCTTCTGAACCCTACTTGTGGCTCTTTTGAGATGGGACCTTATGGACAGGGTCTATATCCCCAAGGGTTCCCCTAATCCTAACTCCTATCACTGTGGCATCTTTGTAGGAGACCTCCTGTTGCTCAAGACCGAGCTCGGCGGCTATTGTGCTCAGAAGGGAGACCAGGCCTCCCTGGTAGCTTTGACTAATCTAAAGCTTGATCTACCAAAACCTAACTTCGTCGTTCTTGTAGGGTCCCTACATACTCTTCACATATACCAGGGAGGGATTTTTGGAAGAGCCTACAAAAAGGAGGTTATGGCAGTTTCGGGGAAGGGTCGGCATACTTGGAGCCCTAAGCCACGACTGTAGCTTCGAACCCCAAGACCCTAAACCCAAAGCCCCAAAGGGTCCACGCCAGGTTCCTGTGAAACTCGGGAATGAGCCCTGCCAAACGAAGCCCCACCCTGGACCTGACCCCGTGGAGCCTTAAATAAGATATTCGGCGCTATTCGGCGCCTGAGAAAGAGTAAGTACCCATAGGCTCCATTGTAGTTCCGTGTTGGGATTACCCTATAAGATCCTAAATATAAACCACAAGAAGGAACTACAATGGAGCCTATGGGTCTTAGGGACCCTGGGCTCCTTATTAGGATTTTCGTGGAACAGACCACTCCAAAACAGGATTCGTCGGATTATTTTGAGGCCATTACAAACCCGTATAGTAACCCTTCTCGGCTTGTAGGCCGATGCCTTAAAGCCTTAAACCCTATGCTTCAGAGATTCGCATCCGGCACAGAGCCTCCAAATTATTCCGAGCGAAAGTCGGGGCTGAAGGTTTGGGGCTTTGGGGTTTAGGGGTTTAGGGTTTAGGGTCTAGGGTTTAGGGTTTAGGGTTTAGGGTGTGAGAGTCAGGGTTCGGGGTTCTTGTTGGTTTTGGCGATTCAGGGTTGAGAGTTAGGGTTTTAATATAGGGGCCTTCAGAATTAGAATACGGTTTAGGGGCCCATTAATTCTACTATAACTATAAGAAGGAGCCCCCCAAAGTAGTGTTGGTAATTGTTTAGGCCCCTACATTAGGCTTGTGGAGGGGTTCAGGGTGTCGGGCGTCGGGATGCCAGAGTCTAGGGTTCAGGGAATCGGGGGGCTATATGAGCCTTGCAGTCCTGTAGTTTAGGGTTTAGGGTTAAGGGTTCAGGGTTTAGGGTTTAGGGTTCAGGGTTTAGGGTTCAGGGTTTAGGGTTTAGGGTTTAGGGGTTAACTGACTTAAGTCAGATTCTCTTTCGCAGGCCCCGAGTTAAGTGTCGAAGAGCTTACAGGGATCAGGGTTTAGGGTCACGAGGTGTGGGAATGAGAAGTCTTGGGTTGAAGATCCTGGTTATGTACGGTTTTTCGTGGTTAAAAGCTGTGTAAACCCTAAACCCTAATAATACTAAGACGAAGCCCAAAGCTTGGCCGGAGGTGTCGTTTACGGTCCGAGAGACACCCAAGGGCCTGCAAGCGGCGGGCGTGAAGGTTATCTCATCACAGGCGCGGGACTGTTGAAGCTTTTGGGGAAGTGGGGCGTTTCAGGTTTTGGGAAACCTACCGCCCAGGTACCTAGTATATAGGGCCCTAGGGGCT